ACATGGTAAATATTTGTTGATCTCTTGAAAGCTATGTGGTGTGGAGAGTAGGGAAGGGGCTGAGCCAAGCTGGGGGAGGGTAGTGAGTGGGGGTTGCTGGAGCAAAAAGATCAAAGAAATAGGCAGATATGATGCGGCTAAGATAAAAGAGGCCAGAGGCCAGCCCCGAAGTGTGCAATGACCATATGGACACAGACAGTGTTGAACTTGAGACATATAGATTGAAGTTGAGGGCTAGGATTTCCTTAACTAGATCAATGAAGAATTTCTCTAAAGAATTTTTCAGCTCTAAAATGATGCACTTTTTTCTAGAAATATGATATTTTAGAATGCTCTAAAAGTTTTGGCATGTCTCTAAAATTCTCAGGCAAAAGACAATGTAATAAACCTTAGGCTCAGTGGGTTTGGCATTGGTCACCTGATGAATAACGCCCTGACCTTAATGTTTATCCTAAAACATAAACATTGTTGCTTAATTACTGTGTTATAATTAAGGCATATGTGTTTCATAATGTCTTGATTTATGGGTGGGCCTTAAAAAACTCTAATTTTTCTTATTTCTAAATTAAATTTGTATTTAAAGGATATTATAAAAGTCTGAAAGTTATCATCCCATGCTTAGCCAAATATATACATTAAAAAGTATAACTGTTTAGACATTGATGTCCAAAATAAAAATTTTTCTAGAAGCATTATAATACTTTATAAACTAATAAAAAAGAAGTATACAAAAGAGATATGCATATATATTTAATAAGTGATACAATGACAAAGCTCTTTCCTCCATGGAATTGTTCTCTAAAACCCAAAGTCCAACCTAATTATAGGACATTAGGCAACCCTAAGTTAAGTAATAGTCTATAAAATATCTCTTTAACAGCTCCTAAAATATCTATTGAGACTATGACAGATCAGAGGCAATGAAGGAGACTAGAAACAATGCACTATCCTGAATTTGATTCCAGTGAGAAAAAAAGACATTAGTGGTAAAAATAATCAAATCTGAATGAAGACCTTGGTTTAGTTAAAAGCAATACACCAATGTTAACCTCTCAATTTTGACAAATGCTTTGTGTGATCTCTCTTCAGTGGGTGAAGAGTTGAGGTGATTTCCTGTACTCTTCTTATATTTATATAAATTTAACATGCTTCTAAAATAAAAAGGTTCCCAAAAATGCCAGTGTGACTTTACTTCTATTTATAGTAGGTGATATAATTATGGTCAACATTTCCAATGATAACAACTAGACAAACTGGATAAAATATATGAAATTGTCTATCTAAAGCCACATGAGAGCTATCAAGAAGACAAAGAATAACCTTCTCCATGTCAAAAAGATGTCTAGAGAGGTGAATGGTATACCTGACAGCTTTGGTCCTATGGGCATTTTTCTGCCCAAAACATGTCTGAGAGACTGTGCAGTGCTTCTGACAGCCTTGCTGTAGTAAGGGGACAAAAGATAGATTCTGGGACATGTAGAAGTGGGACTTTGGTAAATCCCATACATGTTGGCTTGGACTCCAAAGACAGGCAACCTAGGAATGACAGTAACTGCAATGAAAGCAGCTGCTCTTGGGTTACAGTGAAGTTATAAGTCATCTGAGTGCCCCAGAAACATGAATCCCTAAATTGTTTTAAGAGGATCCAGATTGCCACGGGGAAGCAGAAGCATCAGAAAATCCTCACAGGATGACCTTAATACCCTAATCCTTCAGTTATTTCTATGCATAATTTTTCAAATACAACTTCTGTTATATGAAGTAATTAGGCATAGGAGGGTGTAATAGAGCATGAAAAAGAATCAATGAAAGGCAATGAAATATACGCCCAAATGTCAGATATTAGAATTATCAAACAAAAATTTTTACATAGTACTTTATATTCAAGGAAACAAAAGTAGGATCCTGAAAGTTTCAAAATAAATTATATTACTAAAAAAATTTAATATAAATTAAAACATAAAACTAGAAATTCTAAACTATTTGAAAATGAAACAGAAATTCTAGAAACTAACAAATATGACAAATAGAATTCTAGGAATAGTTGCAATATATTTTACATAGCTCAAGAAAGATTTTAATGAACTAGAAAGTATAGCAGAAGAAAATATCTAGAATAAAGGTACAGAAAGACAAAAGGATCTGTGTGAGAGCACAGATGCCTTAGAACAATAATATATTAAACTAATCTAAAAGAAATTCAACCTCAGAAAGATTAATTGATCTATTTGAGGTCCCACAAAGAACTAGGACTGGGTTAAAAATCCAGGTCATCTTCTACTTTCATGTATGTTTTTTCCATACCATTATACATCAGAATTAGGACTCTTGATGTATAATGGATCCAGCAATAGTATGCACAGTTCCTCTAAACCATTTGTGAATTTAGTAATTACTAACTATTTTTTATCAACTCCTACTCTTTACTAGAATATGGAAGAAATATTTACCAGGGAATTAGGGAATGTGGGTTCTCATTTCAACTCTATCAAGGGATGATTGAAAGTCTTGGATATTATCACTTGCTTTATCTGAACCAGTTTCTTCTAAAAAGTAACATATTCTACAAAGCAAACTATAAAATGAGCAGATAGTCTGGGAAAGGCCTGAATTTAATTCTCATTCTTAAATCCCATCTTTTTATTTCAGACATTTTCAATTACTTTCTGTCCTTACTTCAATCTCTTCCCTGTAGAAGAGGCAAGTAGATTTAAAGAAACACAACACAGGAAAAACTGAATTAGTTGTTAATAGTAACCATCACAAGTAGTTTTTAGTGAATGTTGTCTTAGAGCAAAACAATATAATCAGTTAAAGAAACAAACAAACAAAAAACAGCAAACATATCTGTTTATTCCATGTATCAGGTTGACAAAGTCTGAAGAGTAGAGAACCACCATTAATGTAAGGAGGTCATGGTGAGGACATTTGCAGATAACTTCCTACATTATGTATTTACTGAAGTATATTTGACATTACTCAATCAATTTCTGAATTTAAGAAATGACCAATAACTATTATTCTTGGGTAAATACTGAATGCAGGAGAAAAATTCAACTCACATATGTTCATTCTCTTTGCACTTGCTACTTCCATACCCTTAGATCAAAGTGGCCAAAAATTGACTGCATCTGGGCACAAAGCAGGTTGAACAGCTGTTTGACTCACTTCATTTGACTCCTTGTCATTCTGTAGATTGAGATCTCTGCTGAGAGCATCATTTGGAATGATTTCTCCCCAAACTGGTATTTTTGAATATGGAATTTGAAATGGAGTGAAGTACTGCTAGACATTCACAGAATAATATTGCCAAAAGGAATCTGATAGATTTATGTCAAAAACCTACCTTCCCCCACACACCCAAAATATTTAGACATAGCCTAGATTGGTTGAAGTGACATGTTCCAATGTGAATCTGGGTTTTCTGAAACTGCGTATGTAAAAAATGATGCTAGGCTTCAGATATCTGACTAGGAGAGACTATCAAACATTAGTAGAGACAGTCCCCAAATGATGGCTTAGGACTTTTTTTGACCTTCTGATGGGGAAAAAGTGACATGCATTCAATAGAAATGTATTTTGAATTTGGACCTTTTCCCAGGCTAGTGAGGTGCAGTCTGATCCCCCTCACTATGGTGGGCAGCAGCAATGAGCTATGGCTGCTTGTCAGCCATGTTATCGCAAGGGAGAAACAATCAATGCTCTTCAGTATGCTCAGTTGTCAGTGTTTTTTAAGTCATTGTGTTCTCCTATCTCATCACACCTGTGAAACACTTATTGTGTCATTTGTTCCCATACAATTACTCTGCTTTTCAGTTTCAGTACAATATTCAATAAATTGCATGAGCCATCCAACACTTCATTATAAAATGGGCTTCGTGTTAGAAAATCTTGCCCAATGGTAGGCTAATATAAGTGGTCTATGCACACTTAATATGACCTAGGCTACACTGTTTGGTAGGTTTGGATGTATTAAATATATTTTCAGCTTATGATCTTTTCAACTTATGATGAGATTTTCAGGACACAACCCCATGGTTTGTTGAGAATGATTTGTAGAAGTGAATAGAATAAAAGGAGGTAATCCACATACACTAAAGAGAGATGGGTTAGAAAGGTAAAATAAAGAGGCATTAGAGAATGCAAGAGTCAGTAAGTCAAAGTTTGGGTATTTGAGAGAAGAGTAATAAGTATAGCAATTACTATTATTATTATAACAGGAATTATATAATAATTCACTAAGTAATCTTGACAATCATACATGATATTAGTTATTATTGTTGCTCCCAGGTTATGGGAGATAAAACTGAGGCACAGAGAATGTAAGTAACTGAATCTGACACACACACACAGCTAATAAAAGGAAGCCATGGTTTGAATCTGTGGTTAATGAATAAGATTAATGAATAACAGGATTGCAAAACACTGTTGAGTTAAGCCCAGAGCTCAGCTTGCATATAATTAAAAGTCTAAGAACCTTTGTACATTGCCATTCAGGAAGGCTGGACCAAAAGGAAGACACCCCACTGCAACCTTCTGTGGTGACAGAAGAAACACATCCAAGGATTGATGGGATTTCTTTTTATTTGAGCATTTCATGTGGTTATACTTCTTCACAAATTCCCCTCTTTTGTCTCCATCTTCAGACCCAGTACACACAATTGCAAGGTTTTCTTTAAGCTCTCCAGTCCTGGTCCTCTCTAATCATTAGCAATTGTCATTGTCAGGAAAGTTTCTTTATATGTAAAATTAATCACTGACTTTCCAACTTAAACCCATTTCCTCTTCTCTGATCATTATTGGAGATACGAAGCACATGAAAGCAGTTAACATTCTAATCACCTCAGGTTTTTCCTTTTTTTACTTAATAACTCATTTAAAAGTACTTCTGCTAGATCCCATTTAAAAATCTGACATTAATTACTGATATATCCAAGTCTTTCTGACAGGGCTGTTTTGCTATATTAAATGTACATCAATGGTGAGTTTTCTCATCTTACCTCTCCATTTTCTAAAGGGTGTATCTTCGAATAAAATGAAGTGCAGATCACCTCATCATCTTTGGCATATGATGGGGGCCCGGTGCGAGGATAAATATTGTAGAGGGTCAGGCACTCCGTGTCTGTCACGGCATGATACTGCCAGGGCTTGTACTCTACATTATCCAGCGAGCGTTCCAAAATCCAGTTTCCAGGCCGAGGGGAGTTGGCTGCTTTCACAATCACATAAGCAATCTGGAACACCTGGTGAAGAGCAAGAATAACACAGCCTTGACTTCCAAAGTGCTTCAGCTGTTTTATGTCAAATGTGAGGCTAACTGCTACCTGAGACTTTATTCCAGATTTTAGTCTATAGTTCTATTATGTTCTCTGAAATGATTTTACTATTGCACATTCATATTTAATAACTTTTTTCTAAGATAAGATGTTCCGTTTTGACAGCTATGGCTTTAAAAACAATGGGTTAAGACTAGACTTCAGTCCTCTAACAATTCATTGGCATTATTTCACCTAATATTCAATGTTACATTCTATCTATTACCACTGAAAGCATTTGCTGCCTACCAATTTATTCACCTTACACATTAGAGACAATAAAATATGCATTAGAAGTACCATGTGTAGATAATACTTGATAGTATAGAAAAGGTGCTTACCTATATCATTAATTCTCAAAAAACTGTCATTTCAATGGACTTAAAGTGGTACAGTAAAAAGAACATAGGGCTTTGGAAATACAGTCCTGTGTTCAGATCTTGGGCCAAGCATTTATATGAACCTGGGGAGATTACTTTTGCTACTCTTAGCTTCCTTTTCTGTAAATTAAGCACACCACTGAGAAATTGTTTGTATTAAATGAGATAATATGTAAAGTGCTTAGCAAAGAACTTCACAGTAGGTAATAAATGTCAATTCCTCTACATCCCAAAATAAAAAAAAATGGAGGAGAAATTTCACTGCCAGGTAGACAGTTGATTGAAACTATAACATATTAAAGGGTTTTCTGTATCTTTTCTTTACAAGAGGTAAACACACGAAAAGTGGAGAAATCAAGAAAAAGGAACCATTAGTAAAGTCAGCAGTGATAATGGAGGGGAGTGTGGCAATCCCTACTTTCAAATCTTCATGGAATTTGAGATCTAAAAAGAAACATTCTGAATGTTTTGAGATAGCACCTATGTATATCTTTACCAATGCAGTCTAAAAGAATAATGTCTAAACATTTTTCAGTGACATGTGCAATGAACTGGGTAAAAATATAGATACAAACCATTGTCAATTACCATCTTACAAAAAAACCTGTTGATAATACATGACAATGAGACAGGAAAGCACAATAATAATAAAGCAATTTGATATATTCTTGATTGGTAAATGTGCTATGTTGACCTTGACACTCTAAGTTCTGGGTTGTTAGAGTCAATGGGGGAAGCACAACTAGGAGGAAAGTCTGGCTACAATGTGATTTAAGAGCCTGCTGCTCATATAAGAAATCAGAAGAGAAGGTGCTAGAAATGAACTCTATCTACTTCATGGTTTTGATACAGAACTTCACAAATTCATGCATAGTCCCTGTGTTGTGCTCTAAGATCTGAATTTACAAATATGAAAAGTTGGCATAGAAGGGGCAAAATACAGGGCTCTGATGCTGGTGCTTTGAGATCTTTACCAGTATGTGAGCCCTGTGTGAATATGAGGGGAGAACCACAGGCTATCAAATGACTGAACTTAGGGCCAGCATATATTTCTTAGGTATCGTTGTGGAAAAGCTGATGGCTAAAATACTGAATGCTGAAATGCTTCTGTTGGTACTCAACTTCCCAACTCCCTCCTCTTTCCTGAGACCACTGGATACCATCCAGCAGAGTAAGGAACAGCCAAGACATCTATTCTGATTAGTATAGACTTGGATCATTCTGTTTTATTGCTTATCCTTGCAGATGAGAAATGAGTTTATATTTGCAAAGGTATATAGATTGATATAATAGCAGGTAAATGCACATACTTATTTATGGGCATATAAATACTTGAAAATACTTAAACGTTTGGGCAAGGATGTGTAAAGTCATTAAAGCTGTTATCTCTGGGGTTTGAGAATGAGGAATTAAGAAGAGAAGGAGGGGCAGAGCTTTTTACTTCATCCTAATATCAACACTTATGTGTCCACATAAATAGCTATGGTTTTATAAAGTTATTACTGTCTTTTGTTTGCAGTGCTGGGGGACTAACTCAGGACTTCACACATGATAAGCAAGCTCTCTGTCACTGAACCACATCCCCACCCCCAAGATTATTTTTAAAATAAAGAAAAATCAAAATAAGTATCAGAGAAAGGACAAAAGTAGGAGTGAGATGGAACATACTTCATCAACTATCATCCAAAGTATTTACTATTTCTGAATTTTTAAAAGGTTGTTAATAAGGAATTATTTTTAGATAATTCATATTCAATGACTTACCACATAAAACTTGCATATTACAAGATGTAAAATTACTATAATTCTTTTGAATTATTTTTTGTAAGTTTTAGTTGAATAACCCAAACTACTGTAACATCCTACCATGTTCCTGCTGTTAAAAATTAGTCCCTTCAGTACTCTAGAGTCTGAATGCCAGGCAACATTTGCACATTTTGTGACTTACATGAACTAAGGTACACGTTTATTTCCTGTTCATCTTATTGTGTCCCTAAAAACTAGAGAAAATTAGTTCTATAACCCTCTGTTTCCCAATATTTCAATTTCAATATTTCTTGCATGGGTTCCAAAAGCAACCCATGCAAGAGATGACAAATACAAAATGGTATATGGCAGAAAGAACCATAAATACTTTGAATTAGAATCTTTCCTTCCAGAAAAAAATTGCAGTTATTTTTAAGAGATAAAAAAGAGAGACAACAAAGCACAGGTACTCGATAAGAAAAATAAAGATACACCAAGGTTATGGATGAAGAAGTTTGTTAGAAAGTAGCTCAGCAAGGAATATAGGAAGAGGCCACATTCTGTAGGAGCTGCATTATGGTTTTATGATTCAAGAGGTTCTGAATTGGCTCTGGAATAATAAATGAAAAATAATCCATGAGAAAAGTTCTATAAGAAACCCTACAAACACCTCCTAAAATTTAATATAACAGCCATCATTAAATGACGTGAAAAAGCAGTCACTGCCTACAATAATATTAAAAGCGTCCCATTTCAAAACAATATCCCTCTTTCATTTATTTTATATGGATTCTTTCACATCCCATGCAAAATTAATTAAATCTGTTGGCATGTAGTATTATAAATAAACTTCTTAAAGTGTTGTAAATAACATTATTGAAAAACACAATGAATAGAAGTATTCTTTGAAGTCTTCAGAGAATGACTGAAAATTTTAACAGTGAATTTCTAAGTACTCTAAATTTTCAAAGGTCCTAATAGACTAGCTCTTTAATGTTATCTAAGCTGCTTTTATTAACTGTCTCTTGTGTTTTCAGTATAAAGACTCTTCAAAATCAGTGGTGTTAATACCTTATTTCCAGATGACTAAAGCTCCAGTCTGTTATGGTGTATAACAAGAAAAGCAAACACCCCATTATAAGGAGTACTAAGAGTGCTAGGCTTCAATGAACATAATACATCAATGTGATATGCAAATGTTTTTCTGTTGCAGGGAAGTTTTTACAAACTTGGTGCCTGAACAAAAACCAGAAAGCAACTCTTCACATGATACCAAACATCTGAACAAAGGAAACTTTCCATTTTCAATTACATTTGTTACTCATTTGAATGTCACCTATCAACCTAGAATGTAATTATATCATCTGATGCAGCATTGAATTAAATGTTCCTTCTCTGATAAGCAGACTATTAAGAATGTGATCTCAGTTAACGTGGCATTGGAGAACAGGATCTGTCTGAAGAACACTTTAATCCCCAAATGACAATGACTGTCACATGAAGAGATCCTTTCCACCATTTCATATTACAGACAAGATAAAACGGTACTTGTTTAGCATTGGTATAAAAAGAGTTCTCACTGCCTGAAGTTAGTAACCTAGGAACTTGGAGCAGTCTAGACACTGCTCTGGACCTGGTTTCTTAGCTCACCTATAACTCATATGAGCTAAAATCAAATTTCTAGCACATGAATTGCTGGGTGTATATTTGAAAAACAAAACAAAACACCTCTATTACTCTCAGGAACCCCTTTAACCTAGTCTCTTTGTCTTCAAAAGAATTATATATCTGGAAAAGTGTTACCAAAGAGTATTGTATTTTGAACATTGTAGAGGCATTTGAGGGTCCCTGGCACACAGTTAAAATAGCCAGAATAAATATGACTCCTTAAGGATGTAACAAGGTCATAGAACATAACTTTTCTATATGCTTTTCTCCATAAAAGCCGTAAAAACATTAATGCAGGCTATTTATGGAGCCAGGACTTCCTCCTTCTCATTAGACCTGACTTACTGTCTTCCATGTCTTTTCTCCTAATCTCTCCATACAACATGTAGCCCTCTATGTTCTGCCCAGTGTTGAGCTCTGCTTTCTTCTCCAGTGTTGTCTGTGAACTTCCTATAGCAGAAGGCTGTCCAGAGAACAAAACTGCTTCATTATGAAGGAAATGCTGCAATACTCTGTTAATTGCTCTTGCCCATGTTATAGAGTTTAACATTTCCATCTGCTATGATGAAAAGGATAAGGTGGATTCAGCATTTTTTTCTTGAAGGTTTGTGGGGGAGTTGCTGATGAAACAGAGGTCGTAGCCTAATGAACTCAGAGTGGCTGAGGCCCTGGTAAAAGTCTAATACCTTACAGAGGCAGGTCTGATGGAAGCAGAGGTGAAGTGTTGGCTTTATAAATGGAAACAATTGAAAGTCTGTGAACAACAGAGTACTCACGAGCCTCACTCCCACCTAAGTCACATAAAGCTAGGCTCTTTCACCCCAGCAATATTTCTGAGCAATCTCATAAAATTAGTTGCTCCCTATTATATTACAAATTTTTTGAAGAGACAATCATATAAATTCTGAAAATACTATTATTGGACTTGACTTTAAGTCAAGCTCCAACCATAAAAGTTTTTTAAATGATGATTTAAACTTTAAAAAAAATTTCATCTAAGAATATAATCAGTCCTTATTTTCTACCTGAGTTCTGTGTCCTCTTATTCATTTCATTGTAATAAACCTACAATAATGTGGTATGAAGGTACAGAAGAGCTCACCTACCCATACTTTCTACCTTCAGGCAAATCCA